ATTATATCTTTGCATTAAAAAATTTTAAGTTATATGCTTGCATTAAAAAATAGTTACATTATATCATTGCGTTAAAAAAAATAAGTTACATTTTTAAAAAGTTATATTATATCTTTGCGTTAAAAAAAGTTGCATTTAAAAAAAAATACATTATATATTTGCATTAAAAAAAGTTTTTGATTTTTACTTTTGTTTTCTTTTTCTTTTTTTTCTATGTCACTGATTTTTTTTTTGTTTGTTTGTTTTATATAATTGTATTTTTAGTTTGTGCCCCTTTATTAGTGATTGAGAGATGATTTTGCCTCGAAATGACCGGCAAAGTTTTTTCTTTTTGGGGCTAAAACGTAAACTCTCAATTTCCCTCATTTAGCTGATTAGGCAAAATTTGCTTGAAAAAGAAAATCCCTTGATTGATTCAATGCATCTCTGTAGGAGGGGGGGGGTATTTTGGGTGTTTTCATTTATTTAGCGAATTTTTTTTAATTTTATTGTCATTTAGTCAAAGTTGATTTTGCCTCAAGATTACCAATTTCTCCAAAATTTGGGCAAAATTTTGCTGAAATTTGAACTCTCCATTTGTAATATTTAGCTCCTTAGGCAACAAATGCTTGGGGAAAAAAACACTTTTCTTCCCTATATTTAAAGCGTGTGTTGGGATGGGGGCGGCGGAGGGCCTATTAAGAGGCCATTTTATGGCACCAGAACAGGTCCAAGAGAGTCCAAGAGAGCCAAAATGAGCTTTTATGACCCTTAAAAGCAACATAAAGTTTATCTTACCCATGTATTGTCACAACTGCCCATTTGTATGCCCATGTATTGGGTCCGGCTACGGTGAGCACGGGGGATTTTAACCCTTGATGTAACATTAAAGAACAAGAAGCCCAGTGTCACCTACAACTCACCCCCCCCCCCTCTCCACTTCTATAGGGGGGTCCCCCAATGCTCCGTCCTCAGAACCCCTTCTGTTCTCTGTCTATGCTTCCAATGTCATCTCTATGCTGATGGCATCCAAATCTCTCTCTCTGCTCCTCGGCTATGGTGACTCTCTCCTCGTTGGCCCACTTCTACCAGCTCCCTATCCAGTCTATCAGGAATACCAGTGCCCTCCATCTTACCAACCGCTCAGTGTCCACTGCCCAATCCCTGCACTGGCTTCCATCCTCTGCCCCTCTCTGCCAATCCCTCCACTGGCATCCATCCTCCTCTGCCAATCTTTCCACTGGCATCCATCCTCCTCTGCCAATCCCTCCACTGGACTCCATCCTCCACACCCCTTGCAAATCACTTAATTGTCTTCCATCCTCCGCCCCCCTCTGCCAATCCCTCCACTGGCTTCCATCCCCTGCCCCTCTCTGCCAATCCCTCCACTGGCATCCATCCTCCTCTGCCAATCCCTCCACTGGACTCCATCCTCCACACCCCTTGCAAATCACTTAATTGTCTTCCATCCTCCGCCCCTCTCTGCCAATCCCTCCACTGGCTTCCATCCTCCACACTCCTTGCAAATCACTTCATTGTCTTCCATCCTCCGCCCCTCTCTGCCAATCCCTCCATTGTCTTCCATCCTCCGCCCCTCTCTGCCAATCCCTCCATTGGCTTCCATCCTCCGCCCCTCTCTGCCAATCCCTCCATTGGCTTCCATCCTCCGCCCCTCTCTGCCAATCCCTCCATTGGCTTCCATCCTCCGCCCCTCTCTGCCAATCCCTCCATTGGCTTCCATCCTCCGCCCCTCTCTGCCAATCCCTCCATTGGCTTCCATCCTCCGCCCCTCTCTGCCAATCCCTCCATTGGCTTCCATCCTCCGCCCCTCTCTGCCAATCCCTCCATTGGCTTCCATCCTCCGCCCCTCTCTGCCAATCCCTCCATTGGCTTCCATCCTCCGCCCCTCTCTGCCAATCCCTCCACTGGCTTCCATCCTCTGCCCCTCTCTGCCAATCCCTCCACTGGCCTCCCTGTGTACATGCTGCCAGGTAAACAAGTAGGCAGGTCCCTCCATACCTGGGTCAATGACTCAAGACGTATTGAAGCTGTTTGGAGTGGTATACCAGCCAAGCAAATGCTAATTTCAAAAGAAGAAGTCAACAATGGCCGCCTGCACATTTTTTTAAATACAGGCTCCACCTTGCTATCCCATCTAGCAGTACCTGTGCATAGGGACTGTTGCAAACTCCTCATTGCTCCATCTTGGATTGTGCCGGTGGGACTTTCAGCCCTTTCCGTGCCTGTAGGTCGCAATAAGAAACCATTCCCCATAACCAACTGGCAAAGGCGTGTCTGCTGGAGCCATAGGATGCCCATAGAGTTCCCAACCATCAGCCAGCCAGTCCATTCCACCAATATCATCTTACCGTCATCTAATGTCAGCAGATACTCGAAATCTGTCAGACGATCCCCTCCCCCCACGTATATAATATCTTCATATATACTATACCTTGGGAAGTCATCAGACTGAAACAATATAGCATGAGAACGTGGAAAAATAAATACCAGTACATGAAGCCACAGACACATAACAGCTACAGTTACAGGTGGTGCCATAGGCAGGAGGCGGCCCCAGAGGAAGACAATGCAGACGTATGCAACGTATATGATTGTTACAATGCGACAATGACAGCTCGGGGGAAATCCCAGACTGGAGACTATGTCACCTACATTCAATAGGAGTATTTCCCTTTTCCCGTCTTTTCAGAGGGGGGGGTGACACCAAAATGACTGTCAGTAATTTTGGTGTCACCCCTCCAATGGTGTCACCCCACTGTATACAGTATATATCTTCTCCCTGTTCAGATCTGAGATCGCAGCACCAGGCAGCATGCCGAGAGCTGCAAACGTCGCTTAAGCTGGAAGAATGCAGAAAACCGTGAAGCGCATTGTACTCATTTATTAAAGGTTATCTAAACCCAAGAACGGCCCCCTTCGAATTCCTCGGTGA